ATGTCTTGTTTATGAGTAAACCATCTGTAGCTACGGGGTTAAATTGAAGGTCACATGCATACAGATTCAATGAGGTCGATTCATTCATTTGCCAGTGAAAAACTCATCAGCAATGTGTATTAGTTTATTTTGAATCATTAAAGCAAACTGACTGCATGCTAAATTTGAATTATTATTCCAGTATTTCACTTTCATTAATGATTGAAAAAAAAAAATATCATATTTTAATTATTTTTTTTATATCTCGTAGCTAATGACTCTTTAAAAGTACATGACTTTTAAAACTTCGGGATGATTTTCCTAAATTCGATACTATATACATTTAAATACAAGGAAATATGGTATGACTGCCAATAACATGACTCCATTCGACATGTTCGAGACTAAAGGGCATACATTTAATCCGGCGCATAACGTTTGCGCGAATTCGTTCTACGTTTGCGTGAAAAAAAATCCACGTTTGCTAGACAAAACGCACTACGTTTGCGCGAACCTTACCTGTTGAAAAATCACTACGTTTGCGCGGATTAATTAAAAAAATATGAAAAATAAATTCTTGCCTTTTTATAAACTAAATTGTAATTTCCGAAATTAAACAAATTGAATTTAAATTAATTTCCGTTTTTTTTTCTGACGATACAATGTCAGATGCTCCTGTTAATGATAACTGCAACAAATTTACCGACTACTTTGTAGAAAATTACGTAACCAGTGAGTAAAATTTCCACCAGCAGTGATATTCACTGTAATTCATTTAAAAAATAAAAATCTTTTACATAAATGTAGTGCTTTTTAATGTTTATACAAACGAAAAAAGAGTTATCGGATATATATATATATATAAATACAAGAAGTATGAAGATGTTGTTTCATTGCATACTATGTTCAAAACAATAAACGAAAAACAAATATGAGAGACAACAACCAGTGAGATAAGAAAAAACGTAAAATTCAGGTTATTCTCAGAATTAAATTACAGGTAAAAGCTCAGGTATATTACGGGTAAATTCGCGCAAACGTAATATCATTTCTTCGCGCAAACGTAATGCTTGTCATTTTCAAATTCGCGCAAATGTAGGTCGCCCATTTTATCAAATGTAAGCTACTATATGTCACCGCGCATTTTTCAACAAATGGCATTACAAATACCATTTAGTTAAATATAAAAGGCACTCTTGACAAAATGTGAGACAATTCAAATGAGGAAACCAACATCCTGATCTATGCAGAAATAATGAAATTGTTCAAAATGCATCATAAAATTTATTAAGCGATAGTTATCCAATGTCTAAAATGCCAATCCGTATTATAAGTTAAAAAAGAAAAATTCCTCTATATCAATAACCAAAATGTTGTAATGGTATTTTACTGATTTGCACCCCACCTTCTTTTGAATTTATGTGTTTGAATACTATTTCTGAAAAAAAGGCGGTATTTCGATATTTTGAAAGTCTAAAGTTAAATTTGGAATTTATAAAAATGCAAAACATTGATATTTATAAAAGTCAAAATTTAAAGTGTTTTAAAGTCGAACATTGAAAAATTTAAAAGTCGAAATAATGAGATTCTGTAGGTCAAGCATTTTAAGTTATAGCAACAATTTAGAGTTTAAGTCGAGATTTTTAAGTAAAGTTTCGACTTCATCGCAAAATTGTATTGTAAATTTAACTTTACTGTTGTATTCATTCTTGAGATTTTCCATTTTCATCAATATAGGTTATAACGTGAACATTTCAGACAGGAAAGGGAAAATCAATAATCATATAACCAGGTGACCTGATATCTGTAATAATTATAGGTAACTTGCAAACAGTACGGAAGCATGCTTGCAGAAGTTAAATCAAGTTGGGAAAATGACTATTTGAAGACCAAAGCTGCTGGATTAAGTATGTTCATGCATTGTTATACTCGTATTACATTTTATTTCAAATTTTAAAGCAATTGAAATCTTAAAATGTTATATAATAATACTTTGATGAGGTAATTTTTTTAGTTTTATTAACTTTTGTGAAACTGATAAAATGTTTTTGAAAGTCAATTAAACCACCAATTTAATGAAAATAGACAGTGTTTTTTTTCTTTATTTCAAGGGGAAATTGAATTTGAAGACAACAATATACAAAAACGAATTGTACATCAAGCATTTTGTTCAGACGAACGTTTTGTTTTTATTTTTAAAAATCCCTTTCATATAGACATAAACCTACTGTAACATGTGTAATAATATTCATATAGTAGAGAGTGATTTTTTAATTTTTTTTTAGCACATTTCGATCACCAAAAGAAAGCAGTGCAACCTTAAATTTTTCAAAATCAGAAACGGATTTTCTTCATCGAGAAAATAAAACATTATTTTACACCTAGATTCGTTAAGACTAAGACTAAGACTAAGACCAAGAAAACTTTATTTTGATTCGGCATGGTTTAAACATACAAACATAAGCTCTTGAGAGCTTTTCACCGAATATATAAAACAAACACATAACATAAAAACAAATATACATACATATACAGACATAAAATAAATATGATATACATGCAAGGCAATCAAAGCATACATATATAAGCAGAACATATAAGCACACATAAAATGAATAGAATAGCCTTGCAAAGCAATCAAAATCATTAAGCACTATAAGCAACTAAAAAGTAAATGAAAATTTAAAAGCTATGTGAACAAATTAAAAAAAATACTACTTGCATGCACTACATCTACATTCTGATCCATTCCAGGTCTGAATTAAGCTTTTAAACTGGGAGAAGTTATTTTCAGTCCTGAAATGGTCAGGCAAGCTATTCCATAATGTAGGAGCTGCAAAACGAAAAGAGTGTTTGCCAAAAGAAGAAGTTCTTACCCTTGAAATATCCAAAATGTTACTATACCTGACAGAATAATTAGTTTTTTTTTTTTTTTATTTACAAGATTATTGAGACAAGAGGGAGCTAAAATGTTAAGAATTTTGAAAGTTTCCAATGCCATAGTCCTGATACGACGGATCTGTAGAGAAGACAGCTCAGCTCTCTGTAATAATCCAAATATGACCAGGTGTAATCGTCATAGACAAAACGAAGTGCTCGTTTTTGCACTTTCTCTAGTTTTTTAGTGTTAGTTTCCGAGCAAAAGTGCCATGCCAAAGGGCAGACATTAAAGTTGCTAAAAATAAATGGATGAAATATAGTAATTTTATTTAGCCAAGAAAGATATGGTCCTTAGCGTTTTAAAACACTGAGATGCTTAGCTGCCTTTCTACAGATATTTCCAATATGGATGTCAAATTTTAGTTGATAGTCAATTTCTATACCCAACAATTTAACTATTTTTTGAATTTTGAACTTCAACTGTTGGGTTCATGTCAAAAGGTTTCTTTCCAGCTACAATCACTTGAAACTTGTCAGGATTGGCTTGCATTTTATTTATTCTAAACCATTCTATCAGCTCATTTGGCTCCAGTTTTAGGGTTCATATGAGATTGTCATAATCAGGACTTGAAAAAGACAAAGTATTGTCGTCTGCATAATTATACAGCGAGCCATATTTTATAAAATAAAAAATATCATTTAAAAATACATTGAAAAGGATAGGGCCTAATATAGAGACTTGCGGTACCCTTTTATGAATGCCAGCCCAACTGCTAAGAATGCTTCCAATTTTAATTCGCTGTTTTCTACCAGTTAAATATGATTTTAGTAAATAGACTGAATGTGGCTTAATACCATATGAGAGCAATTTATCAATTAAAATTTCATGTGGAGGCAATCATGTCCCTTACGAAATGCACCTAGATATAGGTTAAAAATATTATCAAAAAAATCAGCCAGTTGGATCTCTAGTACTTTTTCGTATATTTTAGATATTAAAGATAATAAACTTACAGGTCTATAATTGGATTTTTGAAGCGCATCATTTTTCTTGAATACTGGAGTGACCTGTGCTTCTTTAAGTCTGTCAGGGAATATCCCATACTCAATTGTTGTATTTATAAGTGTTGTTATTTGAGGCCCCATGACAGACTTACTTAGCTTTACAACCTTAGCTGGAATTCCATCAGCTCCTGTAGCCTTTTTAATGTTTATTTTGTTCATGATCTTGTCAATTTTGTCAGGTGTTATTTTTTTCAAATTCAAAATTTACTTTTTGGTCTCGGTTCTTTTCAATTTCTTGAATACTTGGATGATTCTCTATTTTATATGTGATGTCATTTCCAATAGAGTCTGCTACTGTAGAGAAAAAGGTGTTAAAAGTATCTGCTACCTGTTTTGTGTCATTTAGTATGTTGTTACCTTCTGCAAGTACTATGGTTTGGTCTCCATTTTTAAATTTCTTGGAAGGGTTTTATACATTTCCAAAAATCACATGATTTTGATCCGCCTGCACATCTAGCTCTCTAATAAATAAGTAAGAGTCTTTCTTAAGTTTGTTTACCGAATTTCTTTGTTTATGGTATTTTTCCCAGGTCTTACTGTTTCGTTGTTTTGTATAATTTGTATAGAGCATATGTTTGCGATAAATAGATTTTCTTAATTCACTGTTCATGCATGGCAGTGGTTTCTTTCTGTGTGTTCTTGTCTTAATGGGTGCATGTGAGTTTAGGATGTCAGTTACCTGTTGTTCATAACTCATGTATGCCTCATTTATTTGTTGTTCATGTGTTTTAGTACTCGAGATACTTGGCACACTTGGGATGTTAATTTTACTAATATCATTGTTGAATAACTCAAGATCAAAATTTCTATACCTTCTATAAGATACATTTTTTCTCAGCTCACCTGGTAAATTTCCCTTTATGGTAGTAGATATAAGGTTATGACAATCGCTTATACCACTAGGGATATTATGCGTATTGAAACAAAGTGATTTTTTATTTTTAAGTATATTATCTACCAGTGATGGTTTACAATTTTTCATAAAGCATGTTGGTTTATCTACAAGCTGGGACATATAAAAAATCTCACATATATCATTAATTGATTTACTTTAAGTTTCATGTAATAAATCAAAATTAAGGTCACCAAAAATCATATAATTTTCATATTTTACTAGACACTGATCTAAGTTTTTTGAAAATGTATCATTAAAAAATCAGTCACTGATGGTGGTTTATACATTCCCATTATTAGCCATTTTCTGTCGTTGATGTGGACCTCAATGGAAATGTTTTCAAGGTCTTTGGACTCAATTTGTTGCTGTCTACTTGACGGGATGTCACTACTTATAAGGGCAAGCATACCTCCTCCAGACTTCGGTTCGGTCACGTCTAAAGAGTTTGTAGCCTTCAACCATAAATAAACTATCATTGAAAGTCTCATCAAGTTTCGTCTCGGCTATAAATATCAGATCTACGATTTTGTCATGTAATAGGTCTTGTATTTCATTAAGTTTTTACCTCAGGCTATTTATATTTAAGAAAGCAGCTATAAAGTTCTTGTGGTGATTACGTCTAGAATCCCTCAGTTGCTGAAACGTGTTTTTTGTGTACACCGGAAGTAGCTTCTTCTAAGTGTGTGTTTGATTGTTCATCTGAGCAAAATTCAGATTCAAATTCAAAATACGAATCTGTAAAATTAGGAAGTATACATTCGCGACAATACCAGCTATCTGTTGACTCGGACAGCCTGTTATACTCATGTTAGGGTTAAGTAGCTGGTCTAATTCATGCAGTATACTAACATATTCCAATTTGATAGTTCTACAAATATTATAAAATCTATTTATTGCATCGATAGACTCTCTTGAAAGCTAAATGACACGTTTTTCTACACGGTTTGTCAAAACCTACGGAGTAATTGTAGTACTAAAACTAATGTGATTCTTTCCCTTCTTACACCATTTTGATCAAGTGATAACGAGAAGTTTTCACAATCATTTTCGTAACTAAAGGTATTTGAACTGATATTGTATAAATTGTCTTCAAAATTGTAACATACTGTGGATTCATTATTATTCGTTGGATACCAATTTTCGTGAGTCTCGTGGGTTACAGGTGAACCACGAATTAAAATGTTCAACGAATTACAAATGTTAATTAGGCTTTGTATGCAGAGATTGGCAAAACTACGAAATCAAATATCCACGAAAATGCAAGTGTTCCTCAATCCACGAAAATTGATACCCAAGCAAAATAAATGAAACCACAGTATTCAGAGAATTATTTTGTCAAAAACTATTGTATATAATTATTATAGAATTCTGAATAGGCGGAACAGACATACAAAATGAGGGTCTTTGGATTTGGTCAAGTAGTGAGACCGAGATCACATTTTTTGACTGGGAGTCCAATCAACCAAACAATTGGGGGAGTATTGAACATTGCCTTGAATTCAACTATCTACAATTACAATGGAATGATAACAACTGCAGTTTCCTTCGTCGATTTATCTGCGAAAAGAGTAAGTTTCTTGTCATAGAAAACACATCAACTTGTTGTCGATTTAGCTTAGAGTGTAGTTCGAACCGTAAAAAAACCTAATAAATTGTGTTTACGGGTAATCGGATTGTATCATCTTTAATAAGATACAACTTTAAATGTGTTATCTCAACATTAATTTGAATCTACAACTATACTTGATCATCATCTATATTACAATTCCCCCTCCCACTTTTACGAGAAAAAAAAAGAAAAATCAGGCAATCCAAACCCCAAACCATCCTATATCTTTGCCATTTCAATATACTTCTACATCATTTTTTCTATGAAACAGTTTTATCTAAACTTTTGTAATTTGAACATATCGGACTGTTTGTTGATGTCACTTCTTTAATTACACATTTAACCAAAGGAATTGTAAAGATATTACAATATAGAAAATTATGCTTGTATTGCTTAAAGTGTTATAAAATGATTTCTTATTAACCCATTTCAGCTCACCAAAGCTTCTGCTTGAACTTTTCTCATCGGTTTGTCTTCGTGGTATAACATTTCATAAATCTCCTCATCAACTTTGCCAATATGAGAGGGTCTGGATGGGGGTCCTTCATTTCTGTATTCTTTATTTTTTTAGCCCGTTATATTCTCTGTCCATTATATTTTAGCAACTCATTATTCTCTATTCTTTATTTTTTCGTCCATTTTTCTCTATTCTTTATATTTTTGCCAATTATACTCTATTCTGTGAAAATTATGTCTGCTTCTACAATAATAAGCACAGAGGTGTAAAAATCAATTCTAAAATTTGAAAAAAAATCTTTCATGAATTAATTTTTCAAAATTAAGGAAATGATACATATTCCATCCATTAGAGCATTACAGGTGATAACCCATACTGCCTCCAACATGGCCTTCATTATCATCTAAAATAGATTGTTTAATACAAATCTCAAATAAGAAATTATGAAAAAAATAATGCAAATAATACCAAACGTAGGTAAAATGATACATTAATTATCCTCAATTAGGTTGAATTGAACAAAAAAAAAAAATACAAATTATGTGAGAGATCCATTGCTTCAATGTACCACATTTTGAGTAAACTATACATAAGTATGGTAGCCTGCGATACTTTTAATAGGATTCCTTGCGACATTTTCAATAAAAATGACTACTCTCATTCAAATATGGACGCAAACGATAAGTATACAAAATTCATGATGCTATGATTGCCAATGATACAACTATTTAACAGATTCCAACCGGCGTGCATTTACACAATTTTATGTCATCGAACGGTCTTGAACAATGAGCGAAACCCTTATCGTAAATTCTGCTATAAAGGCCCCTAATATGACATAATTTGAAGCAATTCATACGAGAAAAATTTATCGGCCTGGTTTATCACAAAACAATACTTGAAAAACAGATATGACAGATTATAAGCAACCAACGATAACCACTGATATTTAGTATACATTCTAATTGCTCTATTTGCTCTTGTTTTATTTTCTGCCATTTTAAATTTAAACTTTAATCTTAATTTTTATTATACTCAATGTTTTTTTGTTGAAGTATGTCGTTAAAATGATATTTTTATTTCCAGGCTTATTACAGTAAAGATCTGGAAGACAAAGACTGCCTTAGATAGAACATCATCATTACTTGCGCGTTAGAAAAAATGTAATATTCTGCGTATGAAAATAACATTTCAAAATCAAAATTATTATACACCAAATAATTCGATTATTATATTGCACCCTTGGCTCTTGGTTGACTTAAAGATTAAACAGCTTTTAATTTTTATGTAACCCTACAATTCATTTGAAGATGTTCAGTTAGAATATATGTAAAATTTAGTTACCAATTAATGACTTTATATTTATGAACTAACAAATAAACTCATCATAAATATCGGGCTTAAAAACTTTTTACGCCAGACGCGCGTTTCGTCTACAAAAGTCATTCTAGAATCAAAAATGTTAAAAAAAAGCCAAAAAAAGTACGAAGTTGAAGAGCATTGAGAACACATCACTTCGAAAGATTTTGCCAAAATACAGCGAAGATAATCTATTCATGGGGTAAAAAATCCTTAGAATTTCGAAAATGTCTGTTTACACTTAATTTATAATTATTACCATTTCAACAAAGTTTTGATTTTTGGACTTGTGATTCCCTCGAGGAGAAAACCTCCATCAGCAGTGACATCGATTCAGTGGTTGTTAATATACTTACCGTAGATACCAGGCTTAAAAATAAATTTTAAGCCAGACCCGCGTTTCGTCTTCAATACTCGTCACATCAATACACGAACGTGCGTAGAAGGTAATAAACCTTTTTTTAAATGAGGGCGCACTTCATATTTGCTGACAACTTCTTTGCAACACCCATTGATGTGAGACGCCAGAGGAGTGAAATAAGAGAATTTGTTTTTTTAAAATGTAAAATAGTCGGATTATATTTGACAAGGAAATCACAGCATTTCATTGCAAACAGTTTAATAGTCTCGTCTGATATTGCCTAAAAGAAAGACAATACATCATCAACACACGCGCTAATCTGTAATCAAATATTTTAATGTAATTTTACCGATTGTGACATTTTAACTGAGTGTGAATTCTTATGGCTGTTGATACATGCATAGCAGGAAACGTCTTCCCTGTCGACTCACCCGGTCTTACTCCTTCTGGAGTTCGTACGATTCCCTCAGTTTCTGGTTGTTGCCTCTTCCTAATCGATTGACGAGATTTGAAAATCGGTACACTAATGTTGCTGGAAAAAAATCATTTGTAAATAGCCTTTAAAGTATTGTTTCAATGAGGTCTTTTCGACATTATCAAATTATTGGATTTCTTTATTAAAAGAAAAATATTAGAAAACCGTCAAAACACAGCTACCGATAAACATCTTGTTTAAAAAGCCCAAATAAACCAATCCATTCTCTTTCCCCATCAATAAGTAATAGTAAAAGTTCAATGATAAGTGACTATTGATATTAAAAGACCGAACAAAAAGGGATGTTAAGATCACCGAGCACGAAGGGCGAGGTGATATTAATTTCAATATTAAATTGTCATTGAATTTTTACTGACTTACAAACCGTCAAAAACGTAACAAAAACACTAGTACACAAAAAGCACTTGCAGAAGCCTAATTCCTCTGAAATGGACGAGTTTAAATCGGATTGAACTTAAATGATAGTTAAACAGTACTCAAGACTAATATATTCAAATAACAGTTACCTAATTGCATCAAAAACGACCGATTAAATGACAGTGCGTCATTTAATTATTTGATTATTATAAATTTTGTAGCTTTAACACGCCTGGTAAACCATCACATCTCAAACAAATGGTTAAGACTGGCACTTCCTGTTGAGCTTTTCTGGTACAAAATATCAAAAATATAGACGGGGTAGGTCAACTTTTCATCAATTTTAATATTGTCAATCTATAAATATTTTGTTAAATAGGAGAATGTCATGCCATTGATAACTAAATGAGAGATTGTCTCGTTCATTATATAGACCAATGTAATCCAAAATGACATCGGAATGACTTTTCTCCCACAGGTAAATGCGGCCAACTCAGTGAGTTTTTGACGACAAAATGACAGTGAGTTCATCAATACGTAAATTATAAACGTATAATAACAGTTTTTTTTAAATTTCTTACGAATATGATATGTTATAAAATATATCAGGTTGAGATTGACTGGTATCGGTTGTGATATTCTGGAACAATGTTGAGATCTTCTGTCAAATAAAAATTCCAACTTGATATTTGTTAATCGGATACGCTCATACTTCAGTGATTCCCTATATAATCAACCATTTTTTCCCTACAACCCCCGTCCCCCCCCCTCCCCCATGGATCCGTCTATGAGTAATTAATAGCTTCTCTAAAAACATTTTGTAATTGGTCAAGAACTTATAGCTATTCTAAAAAGCTTGTAATTGGACACTAAATATATTATAGCTTTTCTTAAAAGCTTGCAATTAAACCAGTAATACCTTTCTTAAAGTTTATTATATATAAAAGCTGATTATATACAACATAGTTTAACTCCAGAGGCGGATTTAGAGGGTTTTTCAGGGGACCCGGGCAACCCCTTTTTTGGGAAAAATTTGGTTGATTATATAGGGAATCACTGAAGCATGACTGGAGCGGGCCCCCTCTTAGGCAGTCAGTGGGCCCCCCTTATGAAAATTTCTGGATCCGCCACTGAACTCTAAATTCTAATGCGGTTGCCAATAGACTATTTTCATATTACCGACTTTTGACTCCGGATTTTATAATTTGTCGACTGGTTATATTGGACATCATGGTACCAAGTCAGGTAAGAGCAAGCTAAAGAAGTAAAACCAAGCTTTCAATCGGTACAATTTTGGGGGAAAATTACCTGCTTAACATTTTTTTTTCACTACAAAATCATCGGAAAACGGTTAACTTTCCCCTCAAATTACACCGATTATATGTTTGATTTTACTTATTTTGGTTGCTCTTACTTGACCGAGTACCATGATGTCCAAGGTAACCAGTTGACAAATTATATAATCCGGAGTCAAAAGTCGGTAATATGAAAATAGTCTATTGTTTAATTTTTTCATCAAATATTTATCTTTTATTTACTTTTTGTATGTTCGTTGTGATATTGAAAAGTTTGGTCCCCTCCTATATTTGTTTCGTTCTTAAAGTTAATGTATAAAACTTCACTGGTGTCAACGTGATGATCGTAACTGCAATTACAATCATCCCAATATGGCGGACGCAAATTCAGGTAAATTTTATATGGCCGATTTCTCCACTCTAACAACTTACATTCATATTTGTATCAAGAAACATCTATATAAGCATGGTCATTGAATGTTGTCGAAACGTGGCGGAATTTGATCATTAAGGATTGCAATATTACATTTCAAACGATTCTCAACATTGTTGTTTATATACTTCCAATTGAAGTGTTGCTCTTTCGACATTGTTGTGTTTTCGGTTTGTTGTGGCTATCTTTATCATTTTTTAGAAAAGGCTCGAAATAAAGAACTTTTGTGAGCACAAACTCTCAACAGATTCCTAAGTTCAAATCTCATAACTCCTACAAAAGTCAACTGATATATATTTCATGTGGATATGCAAATTACCATCAAAAACATGAAACAACCAATACAATAAAAACAATTATTAGGCTAATGAAATGGATTCACACACCACAATAGTTCAATACTATTCAATAAACAAATTTAAAAAATGTTCTCAAAACTATCAAAAATTGTTGACCGACGCTTCAACTCAAATTTCAAAAATAATATATAATAAGAACTAAGTGTTTATCGTGTGAAAACAAATCTTGGAGTGAAGTAAAAAGGTATGTAATTTAACAGGTAAACGAAAGTGAGTAGAATTCAACTAATAATCCAATAAGAAAAGTTATGACAAAATCAGGATGACGAAAAGAATGTAGCATTTAAATAAATAAATTCCTTAGGAACAGAAAAATATTAAAATTCTAGCAAAAATATAAATTTCTTTCTCAGTAATTAATCATTTTTAATAAAATAAAAATGTCCAAATTACTATCAAAAACATGAAACAACAAATACAATAAAAACATTTATTAGGCTAATGAAATGGATTCACACAACACAATAGTTCAATACTATTCAATAAACAAATTTAAGAATAACCAATATAGAAATTCAAAAATTGTTAATACATAAAATTAACCCGCCATACTGAAGGTCAGCCAAAAAAACAGTCACTGTTAAAAGAAAATTGAACCAAGAGTACACTCTTAATTTTAATATAAACAGAATCTGCTAACAGATAAGCCTCCCTAGCGTCCAAAAAAGGACCAAATTAGAGATAAGCTAAAGTCAGCCTTCTGAAAAATTAAATGAGAGAAATCTGCTACAAAAACTCTCCCCCTGCATAAAAGGGGTCAGAAATGAATGAAGCCTTTCTCGTAAAGAGCGTTACCTCAACTCC